CGAATTCAATAATCCGTACGCAATTGCATCGGGTGTTACATAATTTACCAACTGCTTGCATAATGCGGACAGATTCAACCCTTCTCAAATATTCCATCCACACGTGAGTCAGTACGCAGCCAAAGCGCAGGTAAACCACAACACTCATAGCATACGAGTAACGCATTAGAATATCCAGGTACAATGCATTTGCAGCTAATCAGCTCGTAACAGCTTGATTGTCTATAAGCTCCCAGAAAGACGCACCTTAAAATCCGTGAATAGCACACTGACACAGCTTACCTTTAGTTTGAGAGGACCTCACAGGAGTATATTTGCCCACTCCTGTTGAAACCCATCAGTCCATCGGATGCAACCACACTGTTTAGGAACGACGCAGTCATCCCATACCATAGTCTACGCGTTTTTAATCCACCGTCATTAAGTCTGATATACGGCCGGAAACGGCACGTAAGCTCTAGCATGGATAGTCTTTCACCTAAATCCTACCCGATTTCACTCAAAATCGAACCGCTAACGCTTGAACTGAATAACCAGGTTGACATCGATAGGCTTAGTGATGCGAATGAAAAAACATTTGCTGAATGTCTGACATTAAACGCCATGTTAGCAATTAATGGGAAAGTTAGAGTAATTGTCCTTATGACTGATCACGCACCCCTAGATTGTTACCTCTTACATTCATGCCAACGATACCGGAGCTGTTTTTAGCTAACCGGACTCCTAACCTTCAACCGAGCATTCGTGTAACCATGTGGTTTACTTATAATGAGTCACCGTATAACAATAGATGCGCGTTAAAAACACCACGAGAAGTGTATTCCGGAATGTTCAACCATAACTAGTCTGTAATTCAATGATACGTTGATAGAGGAGAACACGTGCTCGGAGTCGACACTAAACCAGACCATGGCGACTGCGATTGACACAATGAACAATGATTTATGGCGGGTAAAAACGCGATTGCTTGGCAATTCCCGTACGATGTCTGACACGAGAATTAGAAAAAATAGGTATATAAATAACATGAAAAAATGGAATATTCAAGCTTCAAAGCGATTCACATGAACACCGATGTAAGTTGCCATCCCAATATTGCGGAAAGGACTGATGGGCAGATAGTTTGTAGCGCTTGTACATATCTCTCTTCCCAATTGTACTTTCCTATTAACATTCTCATTAATATTGTATAGTTTTGTTTTAACTGACCAACAACCGATAAGACACTTTTCGGGTTTCGATTCGCCTTCTGGTTTCGGCTACGCTTGTTGTGCTGTTGATCGTCGTCGGTCTGCTAGCCTCGTCCATCGGATCTAACGCGTCAATTTACTGTGCCGACTAAGTTTCGTCTTCCGACCAGATTGTGCGAGTAACGGACGACCTACCGAGGATCGTGCTTTACCTACGGTCAGCTCCAGCATTCTTAGTTATAGACTGAGAGTTCTTTTATGTAGTTAAGCCCTTTCCGTTTGGCTTTTCTAATATCTATTTGGTGACCCCGTTCTCTTTCTTTTAAAAGCTCAGAACTCCTTGTTTATGCTTTTACTATGTTGGAGCACGATTCCCGCACTGACATTTCAAAAAATTTTGTTGGTTTCTCCTCCCCTGCCTTCGATTCATCTAATCCTCACGTGTGGTTTTTACAATTGGAAGCTTTTTTTCGCATACGCCGTATTACATCGCAGTATTAATGTTCGCACATGTCACTGCTCAGTTTCCTACCCACATCGCAGCTGACGTTATAGATTTGCTCGATCCGACTTCAGCTGACGCACCTAACGATAAGCTCAAAGTCACCGTATTAAAGCGCACCACGGCCTCTGACGAAGCTAGACTTCGACAATTACTTTCCGGTGTTGAACTAGGTGATCGCACGCCGTCACAACTCCTCAGGCACATGCGTACGTTGGTCGGTTTCTCTAAGATCGATGATACAATTCTGTGACAGCTCTGGACGAAATGTCTTAAGGCGAACACCTCAGCTCTTCTCGCCGTGTTCTCAGATGATTTGTCTTTGGACAAGCTGGCCGAAACAGCAGACAAAGTTCATGAGTGCTTTCATAAACACGCAGCATGTCACTCAGTTGAGTCGACCGCTAACGCCGATCTTAAGACCGACCCGATTGAAGCCATTTCCGAGAGGTTATCAAATCTGGAGCTCGCTATCTCGAGTATTAATCGCTACGGTGGTATTAGCCCTAGACGCCGCTCTCGAAGTATACTCCAGTTGTTTCCTCCTCCTATATCGTGTAAGGCACGTGGGAGAATGTCTCGTCAAGACCCTTTTTGAAAAGCGTTAATGTTGAGGCCAAATGACAAAAGCTGGAAGGACGTTGCATGTTTCGGGTATCAGAAAGGAGAAAGGGATTTGTTGACATTCAGGTCGACTATAGTGTGTAACTAGTTCGATTTCGTAGCCTCTCAAGTTAGAATTATGACTGAAAAATGAGTCCTCGGTAAACCCAACGATTCACTGGATTTCAGTACCCAATATCCACCTTGGTCATGCAAATGTCCACGCCTAATTCTGTTAGGCGTCAAAAAGGAAGATTCATTAGACAGATATTATAACAAGTGGAACAAAACTCCACATAAAATGTCTCGCGTCACTTGATGTCGATCTGGGTGTTGCCTCAATGCCAAGATATCAAAGCGGTATATTGCTACAGTTCTTCCTGCTAACATTGACCAACATGCATCCCTTTACCGGCCATCTGTCCAGCATGCTCGTGTCTTTCCTTGATGAAATTGACTGCATCACACAACAGCAAAAATAGATTCCGTTAGAACCCAGCGTGTACTAACCATCTACCGTTAACACGGGATAGTTGGACCGAAATAATGGATGTTGGTGTGCGATTTGATGTTGTCTACCTCGACTTCTCTAATGCATGCGAGCGGTTGGCTTGTCGCACTCTTCTAACCAACCATCTGGGGTACGGCACTGGTAACCATCTTCCATACTGTATCAGCAACTTTATTTTACACACGCGTGTGGAACGGAAATTATGCGATCCAGTATTGACTCCAGTACACGTGGAATACAATTCGAGATTGGAGCCGTGATGTTCCGGATTTTCAGCTGGTGATTAGTTCCCGTTCCAATGATGAAAAGTCAGTATAGCAACAAAGCTCGTTTTCGCTGATTGATCATCAGGCTAAATACAACACACATAAATAGCTAACAAAACCGAGTACAACACATGTTAAGGCAGTAACTGAAGGCTGAAGTGACAACTTGACATAATCACTTCACCCTGTTCGCTTTAGGGCGATGAGATAGAGCCTCGTCGGTGGTTCATGACTCCAGCAATCTGCATGAAGCTTCAAAATGACCTCGACCAGATTCATGACTGGTCAGTCCACAATCGTCTTCAGTTTAACGTAGGTAAATGTGCGGCACTCCAACTACAACACCAGTTTGGTGACAATGATCACCAACACTGTCCTCGGGAACAAGATCTCCGTGTGTTAAGGCAGGGAAACTCAGGCTGGTCGGAGCGATTTGCGCCAGCAATGAAAAATTGATTCGTTCACTTGGACCCAACATGTGTTCCACAGCTACTTTCTGTGTGTATACGCCCGCACGTAGAATATGCAATTCAAGAATGGCTGAAGCAAAAACTCCCGACCTTAGACATTTCCCAACATCGGGTAAACAATAACATCAAAGGACAATGCCACTTACTGTACAAACAGCGCCTGAGTATTTTAGGAGTCTTCAGAGAACGCTATCGGCGTTTTCGCGGGGACCTAATCATAATCCCCTAATCACTTGTAGTACTATCGGCTGCGAAAACCCAGTCATAACAACAGACTGCGAGGCCACGGACTCAAACTGACAGCCCACCCGTTTGTCACGTATGCAGTTCACCACTAGAACCTGTCATTTCAGTCTCACTTGCACTGTGTTCAAATCGCATGTAGACAATGCGCTATTCGCGTTATACAAAAGTACTACACACCTGAATGATACTCATACTTAGAAAACAAGACCGTATCAACCCATACCTACTTCTATGGGGAAATCGGAAGCGGTGACATCTGAATTTGCATTAAACCACTTGTGAACGACGCAGGCAGACAAAACTTTGCTTGTCAAGTTCACTACTTTCGGTACCTCTTTGTTTATGGGTTTCCCTTTGCTTTTGAAAAGCTCAACGCAAAACCTTGTGGGACAGGTTAATCCTAAACAATTTTCTCTGCACCAAACCATTGACCATACTCTTTTTTCTGGAGAGCCATAATAAACCAGCTGACAATACCACTAATTTCACGAGACCAACTACTTGTAATCTAATCCATTTGCAACGGAACATTACTGGTCTGCGTAATTGTAGAACAAGGAAGAAAACAATATAAGTCACGGTCTAACATCACATTTTAAAGGAACTTGCAAGACTGCAATCACACATCTATCACATGCCTAATCCATCCCTCCATTGGTGATTATGTCATTCCGCCCGGGAGCTGTTCTGTCTATCTCGATCAGATTTGACCTCTGTGGTTCGTAAAAGAGCAAAGTGTTTGGAATATGATCATCTTCTACCACAAGTTCAGCTTGTACCTGAGGATCCGTCATAACAGTGATATTACATCGCATAAAGTAAAAAGTTACGTGGAGCGAATTGTATCCATTCCGCTGAGACGGATATCGTTCCGTTCCTTGTGTCACTGACAACTTGATTTCGAGATCAAACGGTAGCTTGTATTGCGCCGTTAACAATCCGATCGAAGTAGTCTAAGGTCCCGTTAGAACGAGGCATCCTATCTGTGCCTCTTGCACAGAGCATTTTGGAGTACCATGCCGACATTGTTCACTCTGGTTCACCGTGCATCCCCTACGCCCTAGCCTCAGACATCTCCTTTGCTCGCTCACCGTATGCCAAATTCTATTGGCTGCTAGCCGCTGCCCACGCAATGCGTGGGTGGATGCAATCTGGGGACTATCGAATGCTAGCTGATGCACTAAGGATTCAAGGGACTGAGTTAAGAATGTTAGCAAGTGAGAAATGATATAGTGCGTGGAAAAATAAGCATAATAACAAAGAAACAAGCGATAAGTAAGGGAAATCATCGGTCAAAGCGAAAAGAATCTACGGCACAACCAGTGATCCAGTGAGGGGTAGGGTAAGTGATGTGAAGATTTTAATAATGCACAGTTGTACCATCACAGTTGTTGACACTGGGTAGACGGCTCAAAAGCCCAATGGCGAAGGGCAGACAACGTCGCCTTGTTGGAGCAAACGGGAACTGACAGACTGGATCAGATCGAAGCATTTTCCATCAGCAGACTTGTCCAATTCGGAGAGACAATGATCGATGGTTTTCGACCCCTTTAAATGGGACAAGCAAAGAAAAGGAGTGAGAAAGTGAGGGAGATGATAGGCACAGTCATTCCAGTATATCATCATGCAGTGTATACTTTTTTGCAAGGGCGACAAAATTTAGACATACACAAACGAACAGAAAAATGGGTTTGGTGGAGGAAACACGTTTCGACGCAGCTGAATCATAACACATTGGTCAACAGGTTCCGCGAAACACATCCAGGCATTCAAGGAGGTTAGCTGTGCTGCATTGCTATGTGAAACAGGTTTGGATCGAAGGACAAATAACGGATGAATTTCAGGATGTTCTTGAGCTCCAGCAGCACAGGGACACGAGAAGCAAGTAGTGTGTAGGCCAGTATCGCCGTGGAGAAAAAATCCAATGGAGGACATTAGACTTCAAAGTCAACTGACCGAACAAACTTGTGTTCGGTTGTTCGCATGAGGCTTTATATCACAACAGATAGAAAAGAATATGAGGATCATAGGATATTTAAATGTGATGAATCAATGAAGCGAATCATTTAATAAACACGGACATGTGGTCATGTTATTTGAGGTGAGGTAATGGGAGATGGTGAAAGCATCATTGTCCGGTGGGACGGTTTGTGGTCAAGGCCAATGGAGGGCTTGGGAGAACATTTATGCGTAAACAAGTCCGGGTTCTGGAACCGAATAGCAATCTCGTCTACAGTCGCTCCTAGGCGGCACCTGACTGCTCGCGTGTGGTATCCAGATATCCTTGGGTTGAAAATCATCTTGCGCACTGCGCAATGATCTCGGATTCTTGCGGACAGGAATTGTAGGCAGGAGAAAAAAAGCTGTAAATTCAATTAAGTGCATGTAAACATCCTATGTTAGTCTTACTTCTATCCACACGCTGTGGCGTACAAACCTGATGAGGTCCAAAGCAATTAAGCATGTTCACTTGGCTGGTGTCGTGCCATCAACTTGCTATGTTGTGTCGGAAGGGTGAGTGTTCGGGTTTTGTTCCGTCCTCTCGTCACTCAGCCGCAGAACCAAACGTTCTAGCCGAACAACCTTCATGTAGTGCCAGCTGAGTGGTTCGGGTTAACCCCGTTCCAGCAAATAGTTCGGCGGCACTGTTCCAGGACGCGGTGGGTTTTCCCCTGGCAAACGTCCTTCCTAGATAAAGCCACAAACGCCCGTGCGACGTGACGGATGTGACTCGCCACTAAATAGTCACTTCTCCCACTTTCGGAGGATCTTCCCCACTTCACGAACGTCATCCAGTTCGAAGAGTTCCTGTGATCCCTACATATGATGGCGACCACAGCAAACAAACGAATTCAGTCACACTTCACAAGTTCAGTGAGTGAACATGGTTGGTGGCATCCGGTTTCGGATTTGCCTATCACTGCGGCCAGCCACAGAACGCCTGCGCCTACAGAGGGATCATAGGTGGCTTGCGCTGCACCACCCGCAGTACCAAACACACACCCGATATCCAGTGTAAACCCGAAGGAATTAGACCGGGAGGCATATGGATGGGAGCCACGTATCATCAACGGAGCCGGCCCACACTCCTTCACAGGCAAACACAAGCACACTGTATTTGGGGAATCAAACGCACACAAGGCGGTGGCTGGACCGTAGTCCGCTCTACCCTGAGTGCATGGAACCACTCTTCGAGCCTAGCACGGCTACAAGGACTGTGCACCCCGTCCCCTCCAGCAACGACCAACTGTCTCCTGGAGCCAGTATGGACGAGGTAGTGCGTAATAGACAGGTGGGCACCTTGTCAACATGCACATCAAGCGCAGTCACACCGGGGATATCAAGCAACAGCCAATCACTTGAAACAACAAGATGAAATAAAACAAATCCAATAATGCATACAGATACGGTGGCATAACTCTTCGCTAAATTACCATATGAAGTAAGTTGGTTAGCAATGAATCCGCGATAAGGAAAAAGAATGTCCAAAAATTACTCAAAAATGCTACAAACGCAACAAAATTACCGCAGATAAGCGCAATTAGCGTAAACAACATGGCCGGCTAATAGAAGACTATCCAGGTAGGCAAAACAAACCAAATAAACTGGAATGAAATTTATGCAGCTTAAAGAGACCTAGTTTAAGTGTAACTTGGTTTAGCCCAACTGCGGTGAAGAAGCATCAAGAATGCAACATCAGCCTCAGCATGGGGCACATGTCAGCATGCCCCATGTCTACTAACACATTTACATATCTACATACAAATCCAGCATACTACTGGTTAACTTGCTATATTTTTGTACACTTACCGAACATAAGTGTTTGCATTAGCATGATCCATGCCTTGGCAGGCGTGCCTCGCACTACCGAAAAAAACACTTATCTATTTATTCATTCTCGAAGAAAGGTGAGGCTTTCGTCCCAGTTCACGGCTCTGCAACTGCAAGAGTGCCGTGAACAAAACTAAGGCATCGCATGCGGTGAACCGTGAGACACTGCGGCTGATGTTAGGCAAATTTGGTTGCCTAAGTAAGTTTGGTAGTCGCATTGAATGCCTTCACAGTGGTATTAAGGAGAGGACACAAATAAGTGGACAAGCATTATGTTGCTGACATATTGCTAGTCAGGGGCTCCGAGGTGAACATCGCGTATTCGACCGAGAAGAAAAGAAAAAGCATCAAAACCTTGCGGTGACGCGTTACGATGAGGAAGACAATTGCCTTGCGCAGCTAGACGAGCTGATCACATGGCAGTCAGATGGCTCCATCATAAGGTCTGAGTGCAGAAACCCGACCTGGACTACCCAGTATTAGCATTTTACGAGGTTCTCTCCAATCCAACACAACCGCTCTCTTGTCAGGACAATCTTTTATCGGGCCAACATGATCTATACACCATAGAAGCAGAAAAGAACTGGCTATTCAACACGCTGCTTCCAACGGTTATCCGTTAGAGTCTACTGAGCGCCCCTGTGAAACAGACAAGCAAGATCGTACACTGACAGTCCCAAAGAAGCACATTTTCATTGAGCTACTTTCAAAGATGAGAATGTGATGAAGGTCACCGAAAAACGCATAAGCGTCTCAATGAAAAGAGCGTACAACGCGGCGGAGCTGAGGCCGCTCACCTCGACTAGACCTATGCTAATGTGTTCGATTAAGACACCGATGAAAACCAGCGCATATCTCACCGTCTACACAAATTAACCTGTACCTGTGGCTATGTCGGATGCACTGTCCAGAGTCTAGGTGTCGGAATCAATGAACAAATCCCAAAATGATTACGCGACCGAATGGGATCTGTGAGGACAGAATCAGTTGACTCGGAAAATCAAGCTACCTCAGCAGTTAATAGACACTTGCTGACTATTGGTCACCGAGTCAATCCTGATGAGTTGTTCACCGCCCTAATGCGCGATTAACGGCCCCACATCCTTGGGCTATTGAAGACAATCGTTGTCGTTAGCGAATGACCACCTCTGTGCATTAAAGAACAGCTGACAATGACTCTAAGCCTTCGGTGGTAGCTCATAGGTTTTGCTATCATCATCGTTTGTGTATGTTCCAAGGTTGCCTGTCTTTGTGACTGACAATAGTGCACCAAACGACGGCGTTACAATCAACGTCCGCCGATTTTTAGGTTTGGGATTATAAAGGGATATGCTTGTTCCAAAGTTAGGTGGATTTCAATACCCCCTGTGGTGTGAAGCAAGACTGTACCCTGTGTATTAGTTACTTAACCAACAATGACGTCTCGTGCATTTGAAGCCAGTGATTTCGGTGTCCGTCTCAAGCACCGTATTGATGGCGCGTTGCTGAGCATCCACCGATTTGTGTGGGTGAAATAACCACCAGGAAACTGTTGCCTACTGGCGAGTGCGCATTGTTTGTGCGAGGATGAGCTGTGACGTATGATGACAACCCTCGCTTCAACAGTTGCCAAGTTTTGATGCATCATCAAAAATCTAACTCAGCCGTTACATGGGCTCTCTGTATTGCACACGAGCCAAAAGTACTGGTGAAGTTTTACGAGTGGCATCTAACTTTTGCCACCTTGGGAGCACGGTGTCAACAGACCAGCAGACAACCCGTGGGTTGTGTACTCATGTATGGAAGTCGAATACGGCTACTGGCAAGTCGGAACATCGAGTCCAGAAAACTCAGCAATTGACCCTTGGGAACAAGCTGGCAGTCTACAGTCCAATGGAGATATCAGTTTTCGCTACACAATAATCGTGCACACTACACAAAGACATTCATTATCCGGAGCAATTCTGTCAACAAAAGGTCGGATTCTGCGCACCCAATCATCATCATCATCATCACCATCATCATCATCATCATCATCATCATCATCATCATCATCATCATCATCATCATCATCATCATCATCATCATCATCATCATCATCATCATCATCATCATCATCATCATCATCATCATCATCATCATCATCATCACATCATCATCATCATCATCATCATCATCATCATCATCATCATCATCATCATCATCATCATCATCATCATCATCATCATCATCATCATCATCATCATCATCATCATCATCATCATCATCATCATCATCATCATCATCATCATCATCATCATCATCATCATCATCATCATCATCATCATCATCATCATCATCATCATCATCATCATCATCATCATCATCATCATCATCATCATCATCATCATCATCATCATCATCATCATCATCATCATCATCATCATCATCATCATCATCATCATCATCATCATCATCATCATCATCATCATCATCATCATCATCATCATCATCATCATCATCATCATCATCATCATCATCATCATTATCATCATCATCATCATCATCATCATCATCATCATCATCATCATCATCATCATCATCATCATCATCATCATCATCATCATCATCATCATCATCATCATCGGGTTGTGATGAAGATTACACGGTGTACAAGAAACAGCGTAACTTACGTAACGCCGCAAAGATCAAGAAACGCTGGCAGTTCGAACAGGAGCTAGCATCCTCGGCCACAACTG